GTCATTGCTGCATCATGCTCCCATAGTAACATGGAGCGTTGCTATACCAACCCCAGGTAAATACAGGTATGGGTGAAGATCGCAGGTTGAATTCTTCATGAGGCGCAGCTTTAAATRGGTTTGGAGGAAAGCAGAGGTTAAACTGTTAACAATTCAAAAATTAATCACTTGTTTCAATAAGATTGTTGGAAAATCTACATAAAAGTTAGTGAGATCTAATTTGTGAATAGTTTTACACAGTTTTATCATCGTCTTCATGGTTTGCAGCTGACAAGGAAAAACGTGCGAAGAATGTGTTGGATTCATYACTGCATCGTCTGCTCTAAATATCAAACGTTTAAGGCACAAATTCAAATTTACTCTTCTCTCGGATAATTGTATTCTTGAAGGAGCGTGCACACAAAAAGATGATCTTCATGAATACCAAACAGGGATCTGAGATTGTCACGGTCGTGTGAAAAAATGGACGATCTAATCCTTAAATCTCCTGCACTAAAGAAACAATACACTCCACAAGGACATATATACTCACTGAAAACAACCTGCCAGTTCAAATCACCCTGAGTCGTTGCAATTGTTTTCCTAATATCATTCCAATGCCGCTGTTATGTAAAGGCTTGAATATGTGTCTGTTTTCAAACTTGCTTTGACCAGCTGGCTCTTAATCAAAGACACTTCTGTTTCTGCAGAAAGAGCAGGGTTTCTATTGTGCGGAGATTTTGTTAGTCAAGAACTGGGATATGTACTCTAACACATCATTCTAAAATAAGCTCGGGTCTGGCCTGCACTGGGAAAAAGTTAAAACCAGCACTGTAGAAACTGTTTCTATAAATGTATTTTCTCTGTATCTGGCTCAGAATGACAGCTCACTTTGAAGTGTATTTGTGTGTGTGTTTGTGTGTGACCACGGAAACAAAAGCATGAACTGGGAAGTGGTTTGAATGCAGCAGCCTCCACCTAGGTGCTGTTTGTCACAGAAAATGAGTTATGTCAGAGCTACTTCCTGAAGAAAAAAACAGAACCTTATCCCAAATAAATTTATTTTTGGACCGTGGTCTATTACTCAAACAGTTCTCACTGAAATCTGGAAACACATTTTGGAACATCCAGCTAACAAATAAGGAAACACAGGCCGACCAAAACCATAACACAGCTGCTATTAGAGAAACTCTACCTCTTTTTTGTTCTTTTAAAAGAGACACAGCCATAACAAAACTGTCAAACAAACATGGAAGACGGATTAGTCGGAGTTAAACTTTATGTTTCTGCACATTAAACTGACTTAAGTAGTTATTTAAACTAAATGAGGCTGATGCTGATCTTTAGAAATCATGGCAGCTACTTGAAAAAAGTAAAGAAATTTGTGTTTGGTAGAATATTTACGTGTTGTAACAATGTTTCTTGGCAATAAAGCTTAACGAGTGGCAGCACCTGGGGGTACCAGAAGTCCAAAACAAATGTCAATAGCAACAGCAAAATAAGTTGTTTGGCAATGGCAGAGAGGATTTGCAATATTTTTTTTCATGTTTGTAAGGCACATACTCAACTCTACTGCTCATCCCACAAATGCATGTTCCTTACAAATGTGGCACCATTTAAAAGAGAAATTAACAATTTTTCCAACGATTTATTGTCAAGATTTGTTAGAACMAAGAAAWAATCTACCAAACATAAATTTCCTAAGTTTATACAGKATTTAACAACACTGGGAAGAACTTKGACGCCTAAAACAAACACATAGAAGACAAWTCCTGCTTAAAAATGAAAGAAAGTGTGAGTGAAAGTGAGCTGGTTGTATGAAATGCTGCTGCATCTTCTAAAGGATAAAATATGCATGGCAGGTTGCTGATTTTTAAAAAGTGGCAAATACTGACTGATTAAGTCGGCCRACCAATTAATCACTTCAAACTGACTTCTGGATGTGTGCAACCATCAAATCATCCTCAGTGGAGGAGGCTGCTAGGGTTTCAGCTTTTTCCCACAAGACAATTAAAGATCAGTTCTAGTATCTGGTACTTTTTTTTTTTTTTACTGGTAGCTCCTCTGGTTGTTACTGTGATTGTTTTCCTGCAGAACTGCTCTCTGGTTTATTGCACTTGTAATTTCTTGCTTCAAGTTTCAGCTGAAAGGTTGGTGCACTGCAATCTTCTGTTGTTGTAGATTCTCAACCATCCAAGACATGACGAATTCTAAGAGTCTCAAAACAAAGCTGCTGGAATTTTAGTCCAACTGAAGATGTTTTCGCTCCCCATCCGGGGAGGCTTTTTTCAAGTCAAAATCGGGGAGTGCAAGATAACTGTAATGTTCTTAAATCCTTTTTTTCTGCTCGTATGTGAATTATTTGAATGACGACTGTATAAGAAAGTGAATTCACAGCATCACAATCCAAACTGATCGTGAAAACACGGTGACATAACCGAGCCGCACGGGGATGTGAAAAACGACTGTCTTTGTTCAAAGACAAAACAAACTGCAATAAACAATTTGTCTGATTCACTGAACAATAAAAGAAAAAAGCTCCTGCGCAACTGAAGGACTAAATATGTGAAGTGCAAATATTTGGCTCCAAGGTTTTTCAGTTAAGAACAAAAAAAAAAGAGACAGAGTATTAACTCTACAAATTTACCTTTAATAATGACAGGTTGTCCAGATCTTTGTTTTTTTATTGCCCCTTAGGGAGTTTCATTTAATACTTTTGCAAAAAAAAAAAGGGCAAAAAACGGCTTTAACTTGTAAATGGTCATAGCACAAAGTCAGCAACAGAGGCTAAAGGAGCACAGCAGGAGGAAAAGCTGGTCTTGCTGCTGAGTCAGCATGCATTCCTCTGCTTCCCTTTCCATGGCAACACATTCATCCTCATCCCCAAGCTTTAACTCGTGATACAGAGTGCTTTGTTTTACCTTTATGACTCCTTCGGTGTGTATGTTTGTCAAAATAGAGTTAAGTCTTTGGCAAGACCTCAGCTCTGGATCTGCAACCAGGATGCATCTGCAGCCACATGTGTGTGTGTGTGTGTGTGTGTGTGTGAGTGTGAACCTCGCAGTTAGGAGATTAATTTGCACGTTTATCACAAAGCCTTCGGTCCCCACAGTGCCTGGAGGAGACTTGGGCAAAGTGTCTGCAGTGAACTGTGGGGAAGGTAGCAGGTTACAGGCATGTGTGTACATTTGAGTGTGTGAATGTGTGGCAATAAAAGCTAAATACACAGTGGAGTGCCTCTCCATGAGAACCTATTACAACAAGGAACAGAACACACAAAAAAAATATAGAAAGAAAAGAAAACATTAGTGTATAATGTGAATTATTATTATTGTATGTGAGCAACCACTATTTCCAAACTTGATATTGATCTGATTTAAGCTAGAAGTTGATTTGGATGTTTTGGATTTCGGAATAAATGATTTGTTTCTTACACTTCTTTAAACAATGGCTGCCTTAGACATGCAAGGTTAATGATAACGCTTTTATTTGTTTAAAAATGCATCGCATCCCTCTCGTGCTGTTCTAATAAACTTTTACAGTCATTTCCAACTGTGTGGTGATGAGTTCATTGTCCAATCAACACTGTTGTTGTTGTTGTTTTCACCGGACGCCATTACTGAGTCACTGACAAATAATAAAATAAACACATCACTCTGAAAAATGAGTATTTATCAGTTCGCTCAGTAAACAGATGAAAAATTCAGACGCTTTGTCGAAACACAACCAAACATTCCCACATCATCACGACTTGTTTTTCATCTTTTATTTATTATTTTTTTAATTTCATTTGAAGGCAAGAAAAGGCAATTAAAGTTTTTGAAGCCCGGTGCTGCTGATACCACATATTCCTGTCACATTAGAGTCACATTCTTTAACACAACAACCTGGACAGGAAGTAAACAAGCCTTCATTCTGCTCCAGCTGACTGGGAGACATGAAACCTCACATTGCACCAATTAACTTAAACATGGAGGTGACAGGAACACTGAACYGCTCATCAAATTACCTTATATCTCATAAAAGATATCACTGAGCACAATATCAACATTTCTTAAGACTGCAATAACTCATTAACTATTATAGCTAGACACTGAATATATTATCAATATATGTTCTGTGTGATAATACTAAATTTGGTCAGTTACTGCCCTTTGATGTGTAGGACTACATCTAATTTAGAAAAGAAAGTGAGAAAAATAGCTATTAGGTTATCAAAATTGATATTGCCATTGCAATTTGGAAYAAATATGAACAGTTTTTCTAACATTGTGCAGCTTCTACAGCAGACATGTTTCTCATGCACTGTGATCCTGCTGTGACATAATGTTTTGAATTTGCATCCATCAACTAGTGAAAAAACTTTTTTTTTCTCCAAAAGCCCTCAAAACTTTCTTCAACTAAATTCGGTAGTATGAGCAGSATGGACTAAATGTAAACAGAAAGTGGCCAACCTTGACTGGAGAGCTCCTGGTGGCGACGGGCAGCTCTCTGACTGCGGTACCCGGAGGGGAAGCGGAGATCCCGGCTGCATACCCCTGCAGCGACCCCACGGCCAGGGACTGCCTGTGCCCGCCGCTCCCCCGCTGCGGCCGCTGCTTGATCCCGTCCAGGAGCCGAACCAGGAGGATGTTGGCCGGCAGGTCGTCCACCCCGCAGTCCACCAGGATGCGGCACTCCGGGCAGCGGAGCTCGTTCCGGGAGCTGACGATGTTCTCCAGGCAGCGGCGGCAGAAGGTGTGCTGGCACGGGAGCACCTTGGCCGTGGTGTCCAGGCGCTCCAGGCACACCGAGCACTCCAGCAGATCCAGCAGCGACGAGGACTCGTCCATGTCGGCGGAGAGGGCGAGCATCTGGGCTTTCAGTGTCGGCGGAGACGCCGCGGGGACTTTTTCTTCTCGTACCGTGGAAACGACCCGGGAGCGCAGAACATTCTGGTGAGGAGGTGAACCAGCGAAAGGTGTCCACCACGGACGCCCCCACGGTGTCCCCCCCTCTGTTCCCCTCCTGGTGCTCTGGACCTCGGCGTGTTTCTGTTTGTCCTCCCCCGGCTGTCGGGAGCTTCTCTCCTCCTCTCTCCAGCAGCTGTGCAGAAAGCGGTGAGGTCACGCTCTCATCATCATCATCTTCCGCGCGCCCATCACAATTGCGGCGCGCGCGCTCACGCACAGAGAGAGATGAAAAACCTTCCAACCACCACATGCACGCAGCAGGAAGCCCCACAGCCGCTCAGTAATTAACACGAACCAGTGTTTACTGGCTAAAACAGGGCCGCCCGTTTATTCATAGAGTTTTTATCCCATCAGAACCAGAACGAACAGATTTAGAGGAAGCTACACTAGGCAGCTTTTAAAATAAAAACAAAAGTTCATTCAGCTCAAGTTTGTCCAGTTTTATATAGTTTGTATTAAAAACCATCGAGCTACATGTGCAGTGAGCGTAAAAATAGATAAAAGTAAACATATTTGTTTCAATATATTTRTAAGAATCCATCAATGATGTGACAGGAGCTGATTCTTCTGATTGCGGTAGAAACCGCGTCCAGCTGACGGTGAAAATGTGGTTTGTGGCGACACCTGGTGGACATTTTTTGTTTTGTCCTTTGGAATTGAAAACATACAGTATTTATTTGTTTATTTTTATTTTTTCTAAAAATCGACTGGATTGTAATGCATGAAATTGCAAGTGAGAGAAAATCGTGTGAACATGAAAAGCAAAATCAAGTGTCAAGGGGGGAAATAATAAATTAAATAAATAAATAAAAAATAAACTGACTTTTTGGTGTTTTTAGAAACTATAGGATTGAAAGTAGACAAAAAACTTACAAAAATAAAAAATAAAACACAAATTTGGCCTTAAAAGGACACAACTGCACTGGTATATTTTTATGTCCAAAGCTATTTTGGATAGACTAATTGCATTTCTTACAGTGCTGAATTTTAACATCTTTAATGACCTGTTATGATGCACATGTTGCGGTTTTTGCTTTGACTTTATTTTGAGATCCCAGGGTTTTATTTTTTTTTTTCAAAACTTGCATCTTTGTCATTGAAAAGATTCAGTCTAAATAAAAGTTTAATGTTTTTGGAGKAAGTTTTATAAAGTTTTTTGTTACTGAATTAGTGCAACTGCTATTTATACCATATGTGATTGTGTTTGTTTTTATTTTGTTCACCTATTTTGATTAATTTGACCATTTAGGTTGTAACTTTGGACTGGTGCTATTTTCACGAGGTTTCCCTTAAAATGAGACATTATTGTCAAAAACAGTTCCTGCCTGGTTTGATCAAGCTTAGTATAATTTTAAAAACATATCTGCGAATCCTAAAAGGTTTAGCATTTTTTCTGCAAATTATGACCTACAATATCCAGTTTACTCTTAAAATGTGGAGAAAATCAGTTTTTACGATGTTCAGTTTTTAACAAGAATTTATGATCTATTTGGTTATTTATTATTTTATTTTTGAAAACATATTTTCATGTGAGCAGGGGCAGTGAATTAGCACTTTATTTGCAAGTAAAATTAGAATCCTGCATCTTCAGCGAATAAGAAGACAAACTAATGAGTGGGTGTTTATTTTATATATATAAAAAACAAGTTTTAAAAAGTGTCTCAACTCTTGTAGCATAAATAAATACATTTATTAGAGTTTTAAAATATTCAGGTTGAGAATGGTTACAAATCTTTCTGTACAGTGGACTCCGTTAATAAGCAGCTAAACAATAATAAATGAAGTAATTTCGACACAGTTGTTTATCATTCACAGAAGAGATAAACTAACCAACAAATTGTCCAGGAGTAAAGTTTTATTAGCAACTAAGGATCTCTCTTTTATAATATTTATGATCAGGAATCATGAGAAAATGATTTGAGGAACCAAACTCAAACTATTTGGTGTGAATGATTTTACCAAACCCTACAGACTGGAGCTTGATAAACTAGATTAATGAATGGAAACGAGTCTTTCTCTTTCTGTATRACCTGGAAGTTATGTTTAAACTGATGCATCGTAAATCCATATAATTTAAAGCTCTACATTAAAGGTTTGGGTTTGTTGAAGGTTGGGTCAAAGTGGTTGTTAGAGATGAGATTAGATAAATGTTGAGAGTGATCAGGGGAATGTCTTGAATTGTTGAGAAGGTGACTCTCTCTCTCTCTCTGTGTGTGTGTGTGTGTGTGTGTGTGTGTGTGTGTGTGTGTGTG